TAGTATGTTGCAAGTGTACCCACCATTGTATTATCTCCTGGATCCATCTAGAATCTTCAGTTAAATTTCTGCCAAGAATAAAAGTTGTATTGCTGCTGTTTCACCCAAATTCACTCATAATAAAGGGAACACACACACACACACACACACACACACACACACACTCTACCCATAATCTCTAAACATAAGAAATGTGATTAAACAGTTATGTTTGTTCTTTGAGCTATAACATTTCCTTTTTCTTATTTCTCTGCAGTTTGCAGATTTCTTTGTTTTCTTAACCTATCTTGATCACCACCTGCTATGTGTCAGTTTCAGAGACCACAAACAACTAACAGTACCATCTGTGCCTCTTAGTAAAAATTAGAGAAAGAGGAAACAAAAGTCTAATTGGTTGCTGGCCTTCATGTGCACTAGTTTTCATGTCAGATATGCTGTCTTCTGGTTCTAATAGTCTGGGGGCCATGCATGTATGAAGAAGTCTGCTGAGGGCCACCTCTTGAGAGATATTACATGAGAGAAAGATCTGCTTTGTTTAAAAAGGACAGTAAAGAGAAAGAGTATTTCCATGGTTCCTAATGACTTTCTAGCTCTTAGTTCCAATTTCCTGTCAAGTCCGATCCTACTTTTGTCCTCATATTCCTGTACTTATTGTTTAACAAATAAAAAATTGTTCTCTCTCTCCCTCTCTCTTTTGGGTCACACCTGGAGATATTAGTCAGGGGTTAGTCATGGATTATTCCTGACTCTGTGCTCAGGAATTACTCCTGGCAAGTTCAGGGGCCCATATAGGGTGCCAGGTATCACACTGGGTCAGCCACATCCAAGGCAAACACCCACCCACTATACTATCTTTAGCCTCACAAACTCTCTTGAGTGTTTAAAAATAGAACTACTGAAGGTGAGGCCTCAAAACACAATAGAGAGCTCAAGATCCTAAAGAAGACAAGAGAAATTCAGAGAGAATGAATATGACTCTGAGCCACGGGGCCAAGGGGGCACTAGGACAGTGAATAATGTTTCTCCCCTGTCATGTTTGTGTGGGTTCAGTGGTAGGAAAGAACTTAGCTAAAAGAACTTGTCTTGTGGAAGCAAATTCTTTTATGCCAACCAGAAACAAACATGCATCTATTCATTCACCCATGCAGATTTTACAGATGCAAAATAAAGAGTGGGAGTTCAGATACTATAACAGAGATTAAGAGGCCAGGACCAGAGGTGGAGTGGAAAAGGAGTCACAGAAAGAAAATCATCTTCACATTGTCAGTACCTCTGGTCTCTATTAATTGCTCTCACCTGTACTCTGTGTGGAAGAACATGTGTTCATCTCTCTCTCTCTCTCTTTCTCTCTCTCTCTCTCTTTCTCTCTCTCTCTCCCTCTCACTCTCTCTCTCTCTCTCTCTCTCTCTCTCTCTCTCTCTCTCTCTCTCACACACACACACACACACACACACACACTTCCTGTCCTGACCATAACTCTTTGATTCATCTTCCAATGGAGAAAACTTCCATGTTGATTTTTTCTTTGACTACTATTCTTTATTCAAATACCTTTTAACTTTTTTTCCCTTCTGAGATTTCTGTTCCTTAATTTTCTCTATAGAGAAGCAACTGCAATATAATGTGAAGTGACCTTTACAATCTATGCCCCAATCCATCAACTTTTCTGGATACAGCCTCTAAAGCCCGTGGAAGGAAACAAGGAAGGAGATAAGGGAGTAAGGAAGGCAGGGAGGAAAATAAACTTTGTTGAAGCATAAATGCCTTGTATTGGGCATTGCTTTATGTCTTAAAAAAGACATTGCTTTATGTCTTTTTCCATTCTCATGCCAGCTCTGGGAACATCACATTATGTTCTGAACTTAAAAGCCTAAGTAATTTATTTCAAGACCACTCAACGAGTCAGTGGTAGAACTAGGATTTGAATTTAAATCTTTTTTGCTAAAAGTCTATGCATAACCAACCCTTTGGGTTAGTGTAACAACAATAAAAAGGTACTGAAATAATTTTTGTTAAATATGAATGTGTTCTTGGGTGGAGAAATATGTTGTCTTTTCTCCAAGAACATAGACTGATACCTTAATTAGCATAGACTACTCCTGAAGAATGCATATAAAGGTCAGGTATGTGTCATGATGATAGGAGTTGAAGATATGGAATGTCACTGGATGGAAAACACTGGAAAGATTCTAGATTTCAAGATGTCTGAGAAATGTGCTCTATACGTTAAAGTCTTACTTTAAATTTCTCATCTGATGCTTGCTCTATTGCATCCTACCTATTGTCTATCCTACATGTTATGGTAGCGTTTCCTGTTTTTTCATTCTCCAATTTTTATTGATTTACAATTTTATTAATGGTAAAATTTCATGCATACAATATTCTGACTCCATACCCACTACCAAAGAGTCAGCTTTTCTCTGCTCCAAGTTCCTCTCCCACTAATGCCCCCCACCCCTATACATCCTGGTAAGCTCAGTAAAATACTAACCTGTTGGGGTCTGGAGAGATAGTATACCAGGTGCTTGCATGCAGGTGACCCAGGTTCTATTCCACCTCCACCCCTCACCCCCAATATGATTCCCTGAGCACAGAGCCAGGAGTGAGCCCTGAGTGCAGAGCCAGAAGTAAGCCCTGAGAACTACCTGGTGTGGCCCTAAAACAAAGCAAACAAACCCACTAACCTGTTAAACAAATTAATTATTTACATTCAACTGCAGAATCCACATTTTATCTACTATTATTGATGCTCCATTTTACTCAGCTTTACTGCAACTTTCTCATGGGTCTGCTTTTTTTCTGCCTCCTTTCTCAAACTCTGATTCCCATGGAAGGTGTAGTAAAACAAAGCATGACAATAAGCAAACAGTGCTGCCCAGAGACAGATGGGTCACTCCAACTCAACTCGCACCTGCCTCTACTTCCCTACAAAGAGGAGAAAACTACAAGAATAGAAGACTGATACTGAGTGTCTTTCTCCTCCCTGTCAATCTTGCCTGCCTCTACTGCACGGAGGTGAAGACTGAACTACAAGGAGCATCTTCTAGGATCAGTCTCCCAGAGAACAAAAGTAAACCTTTACAAGCTCCCCAAGAGCTTTTTTTCCTGCATCTTCCTAATGGGAGTTTGGTTGCCATAGAAACAGCCAAGCTCTCCCTGAAAGAGAGATTCCTGTATAAAGAGCCTAGAAGACCTTAAATTGAATATAAAAAAAACCTTTGCTATTTTAGGCCTTAAAAAATTCAAAATTTCTTTCCTATCAGTTATCAAGAAATACTTGTAGTAATTATAGCATGTTATCCAGAAAGTGAATTTGGCTTACTATTTTCTTTTAAACTCCTGGCTAATTTGGCCATAGGGTTCTAAGATCCCTGGGGCTACACTTGGGTCTGGAAAGAAATCTGAATCCATCACACACAACATGCAAAGCTTATCAGTCTTGCGCCCCAGTTTTGAGTGGAGTCATTTCTCTTCTCCAATCAATCTCTGGGCCTGTTAAATAAAACTCTGAACTGAATGAAAGGTTAGAGACCTCCAACCCTTACAAATTCTCTTGCTGTCACTCCTTGGGTATGGAACTTTTTTGTGGGGGGGTGTTGTTTTTTGTTTTTTTGCATCACACTCGGTAATGCACAGGGGTTAGTCCTGGATCTGCACTCAGGAATTATTCCTGGCGGTGCTTAGGGGACCATATGGGATGCTGGGAATTGAACCCGGGTCGGCAGCATGCAAGGCAAATGCCCTACCCACTGTGCTATCATTCCATCCCCTGGAGCTTTTTTTTATGCTCTTTTTTTTTTAAATGCCCTTTTATTCTCTACCTTTGAAAAATTTCCACTTCCCCACTCAACACTATTAACCAGGTTTGTGGTACGTAGGGGGATGGTATAAATAATTCCTCAAGCTCAGCCAGACTAAGACATCTCTGGTTTTTTTGTCAGAACTATATGGGGATATCCTCTTTTGCTCCTAACTTAGTAAATAGTGCATTTTGGGTCATTATGTCCAACAAATGGAAAAATCTTGTTTTATTTCACTCAGGCAACCATTCAAATAGTACTGTTTGGGAGGCTCAACCCATATAAATTACCTTTGACAGTTCTGTAGGTTGGAAATCTAGATCACTGTGCCAGCAGCAGTGATTTCTACCAAAGACTCTATCCCTAGCTTGCAGACTGCTACTTTCCTGCTTTGTCTCAGGCCTTTTCTCTGTAGCCCTCCTAGAATTTCTTCTTCTTCTGAGGATACCTTATACAATCAGATTAGGGTTCTACCTTATGACCTCATACAACTTTAATTAACTCCCCCAAAGATCTATCTACAAATAGAGTTATATTAGGGGTTCGTGTTCCAACACATCAACTGGGGGAAGAAGTCAAAATTCAAACTAGAGTCCAAAGAATTGAAATTTTCAACTTATTTATTTATTTATTTTTGGCTGGGGGATGTCTGTACCTGGCTGTGCTCTGTATTTAGGGATCATCCTGTCAGTGCTTGAGGGACCACTATATGGTGCCAGGACTAAACTGTGGTAGACTAAATGCAAGTTAAGTGCTTATTCCTGTACTATCTCTCAAGCCCCTCATTTATTTTTTAAAGTTGTTTTTATTTTCCCATTACCAATCTAAGTGTATTTTATGCAAACTTACAAAAATACCTGGAACATGTGCTAAAACAACAATTTCTTGTGTCATACATATAACTAATTTTAGAAATTGTGCCATCTGATTCCATTCCTTGCATTTTGTGGAGCTAGACCTAATTATTTCTGGCATAAAATGCATTCGTGATTTTGTTGCAAAGTGTAAAATCAAAATTTGGTATTATAGCACCTGGTTAAATGTCCTGCTGATTCATTAGGAAAAAAATTCTGATACTACATTATAATGTTCATGACATCAGAGCTGCCAGTTATTCATTTGCAGGCAAAACTAAGCAAATACTGGCTCACCTCCTGTCTACTCCCTTCTCCCACCCAAAAAATGAGAGAACTTTATAGGTTGCAAGTCCTGATCTGTTTATTTATAAAGCAATAAATATTAGAAGCACAAACAAATTGCACGTGTGTAAACAAACTGTACAATGATTGATGAGAGAAGGAAGGTGGTTCAGAAGACTCCAAGAAGCATAATACTGTCATCCTGAATGCAAGGTAGACTAAGGGGTAAAGCACCTTAGAAGCATTTGCGGTGGACAATGGATGGGCCTGCCTCATCATACTCCTGCTTGCTAATCCACATCTGCTGGAAGGTGGACAGGGAGGCCAGGATGGAGCCCCCAATCCAAACAGAATACTTACGCTCAGGGGGAGCAATAATCTGTAGAAAGGAGACAAAAATTTCCAATGAACTTTGATGTCCAAACAACATAATGGTGAGTCTCATCAGAAATATAATAGATGTTGATCACTGTTATGTGAGATATTTTATACTAGAAGCTAATAAAGCTGAATCTACTTTTATGAACTTTACTTCCTAATTTCCATGCTCAAAGACTACAGTTATAGATTTTCCCCTATCAATCTGAACTACAGTATAATATAGCAGAAAGCTGAATGCATGGTGGTGGCTAGTCCAAGAGTTGGTGACATACAAAGAGTTAGGACATTTTTTTCACTTAAATATTTGTGTGTATATGTACATGTGTTGCTGTGTGTGTGCATGTGCATGTGCGTGTGCGTGTGCATGCGTGCGTGCTTGTGTGTGTCTCTGTGTATGTGTGTGTGTGTGTGTGTGTGTGTGTGTGTGTGTGTTTTGTGGGAATCAAACCCAGGGCAAATCATATGCTCTGTCATTGAACTATATCTCCAGCCCCAAAATATTTATTTTAACCACTTACTTGAAAGTATTTTTAAAGTTTCTGATCTTGGAAAAGTGCTAGAAAAAGTGTTAGAAATGTTCAAAGCTAAAGTTTATTTAGGAAACCAGAAGGTAAGTGTCAGGGGAAAGCAGTTAGAAATGCACTTCTGCTTACAACATTAAGATGTTTCTCAACTCTCCTGCTCAAAGAGTTTATTTACCTTAATTTTCATGGTGCTGGGAGCCAGGGCAGTGATTTCCTTTTGCATGCGATCAGCAATACCAGGGTACATGGTGGTACCTCCAGATAAGACATTGTTGGCATACAGATCCTTGCGGATATCAATGTCACATTTCATGATGCTATTGTAAGTTGTTTCATGGATACCCGCAGATTCCATACCTTGGAACAAGTTTAAAACAAAAGCATGAATCACAGTGCACTTAAGCTGGCGAATTAGAGTGGAGGGAAGAGAAAAAGGCTCCTCTTTGTTGGTAAGCTATCACCATTTGTCTCTGAAACATATGTTTGTCTGTAGACACACTGCAGGGCAATTGTGGAACAGGTGTCTCTCGCAGTACTGACAGTTAATCCTCTGGACAAACAACTGTTGTTAACACCTGTTTGGAGTGAGCATTTGTTGCATTTATCAGGTATAAGACTATATGTTGGAAAAGAATAAGACATTTTGGGTATCAATATAATTTTAATTTATGGACTAACTTAAAATTCTTGACAATCACTCCTTTGGAATGATTTTTGGTAACAAACAAATGTCCAGTTGTTACTGTGCATAGGACATTTAATGATGAGTGACTTAAGAGGGAAATATAGTGACCCAGTGATGGGACTTATTAGAATAAGTCAGCACTCAACTAATCATTCCTTTCCTGCAAATAAGGATTATTCACATACTGCCCTGTTTCATACTTCATTTTAACATCAAGCCAGTGTTTCACCGTTATCACTTAAAAGCAACAGAACAATTGTGGTTATCACTTTAACAAGCCATCAGAGCCTGGAGCTTAGTTGTGTGGTATCCATAAGCTATGACTTCTTTTAATTCAGAGACCCCTAATTATTTTTGATTTTACTGTGGGAGACTCCAAATGGTACAGGGGGAAAAGGTACCTCTGCATGGACTCATAACTCACCAATGAATGAGGGCTGGAAGAGTGTCTCAGGGCAGCGGAAGCGTTCGTTGCCAATAGTGATGACTTGGCCATCGGGCAATTCATAACTCTTCTCCAGGGAGGAGGAAGAGGCAGCTGTAGCCATCTCATTCTCAAAATCCAGGGCAACATAGCACAGCTTCTCTTTAATGTCACGGACAATTTCACGTTCAGCTGCAGAAATAAAAGATAGAGTCAAGCTCTGCAGAATGAAGCAAACTGGGGGGGAATAGGTGGATTTGCTGGAAGAAGGAAACGGCAAACAAGCTGTGGCAGATATCTCTCTCTCTCTCTCTCTCTCACACACACACACACACACTCACTCACTCACTCACTTACCAGTGGTGACAAAGGAATAGCCACGCTCAGTGAGGATCTTCATAAGGTAGTCAGTGAGATCCCGACCAGCCAGATCCAGACGCATGATGGCATGGGGCAGAGCATAGCCCTCATAGATGGGGACATTGTGAGTTACCCCATCCCCAGAGTCCAGAACAATGCCTGTCAGAAGAAAAAACATAAAAATGAGGCAAATTCCTGAGGACATCTTTGTTTTAGGCATGGCAAAGCCCATTCCAATCTTGGCTAAGAGATAGTAGCACGGGGCATGGATCCAAATCAAATTAGATCCCTTACACATGAAGAATAAAAATGAGCATAATTAATGCTAAATTTGAAGTCAGCAACAGCTCATCCTTTTAAATATTATAGCAGAAATATTTCCCTTGTTCACTTTCAAATCACTATCCCTCTTAGCTATTAGCACATTATATAAGCATCCATGAAAGTTTTTCTTTCCTCCTATGTAACTTACACATCTTTCTGTCTTTTTTGACTCAGACTCTGCGGAAAAGGGGGAGCTGGGGCTAAGGTGACCATCAGAACACACACCGATGACCATGTTCCAAGTTGACCCATTGTGTAGAGATTCAATATATGATATATTTAAGTAAGGGAAGGGTATTAGGTAAGAAAAGGAATAATACCACATGTTTTACCTCTCAAAGCTAAAGTACTCTTTGAAACTAAACTTGGGTACTATTTGTCACCTCTCCATCTTAGAATAACAGATGCCTTCCCTGAAAGTTCTGGGGGAAGTAATCATTCCCTTTTCAACCGAAAAAACTGGTATCAAGGTCAAAGATTTGGGAATGACATTCACCAGTGTCTGTTCCCATAGTTCCAACATACCTGTGGTACGGCCAGAAGCATACAGGGAGAGAACCGCCTGAATGGCCACATACATGGCTGGGACATTGAAAGTCTCGAACATGATCTGGGTCATCTTCTCACGATTGGCCTTGGGGTTGAGTGGGGCCTCAGTGAGCAGTGTGGGGTGCTCCTCAGGGGCCACGCGGAGCTCATTGTAGAAGGTATGGTGCCAGATCTTCTCCATGTCATCCCAGTTGGTGATGATGCCATGTTCAATGGGGTACTTGAGTGTCAAGATACCCCGCTTGCTCTGGGCCTCGTCACCCACATAGGAATCCTTCTGACCCATACCCACCATGACTCCCTGTAAGAAGAAATATACAAGGAAATTAAGCTTCTACCACAACAAGAATGTAATTGATGCCTTATAAATCTACATCTAATTCCACCTTCAAGAATTATTTCATACATAGTATAACTAGTAATGGTATGATTTCATGCCAAATTTATAAATATCATTTAAAAATCAACCCCACACATTTTCCCACACACCACCCTCCTCCACCAAAGGGAATGTATAATTCTATAATTTGAATATAATTGGGTGGAGAGAATAAAAAGGTTTTCACTAAAAAAGTAGAGCCTCATCTCATTTAAAAAATACCTCATTTTTAAAATACCATAATGCCATCATTAAATTATTACGCTCCTTACCCATGTCAACTGGAATATAAATGGCTACATTCTACAGTGACTGAATTAATGACACATTGTATTTCTCCTAAGAAAAGATTTTGACATTCATCAAGTGAACATAAAAAGATGGGCTGATATGCTATTATCGCCCTGGTGGTGCCAGCCAGCCTGCTTAGGGCGGGAATGCCACTTTCCCCAGCCCTGAGCAGGACCAGGCTCCTCCTGGCAGCCCCTCTGGCCAGGCTCGTGGTATTTCTTTTAATAAACAAGGTGGTATGTCACTATCACCATGGCACTTAGTGCCTCTGTCACGTCTGGCTTCTAAAAATGCACCAGCCAGGAAGCAGATAGATTACATCTTTGGGGAACTCTATACACTGGCTGTGAACAAGAGGGAAGAATGTGGGTTGGCCTCAGGTTCGGTGAGATATTCAGCTTTGAACAAGACCCAACAGCGAGGCCAAGGAGAAAAGTGCTGTGTTTGTGTGTTTGGGAATGTAGAGAACATTGAGAAGTGACAGGAGTTTAGAGAACAGAGAGAAGAGCACTGAGAGGGGTCAGGAGTGGAGGAGAGCAGCATCCCCCTTTGCACGCACACCCTCCCCACTCTCCTAGCTCCCCGACCTGGACAGCCCTGGCGAGCTGTGTCCCTGGAGAGCTTGGAAAGTCCTCGGTAGGTGAGAGGGGGTGGGGCGCGGGGGACCGTCTGGCCTGAGATTTGCGGCAACCCTCTACCCCCCATAGGTGATCTAACAGTTCCTGAGCTGTGTAGGATCATCTCCAAGTGGCCGGGAGCGGTGTGGGGCCGCGCTGAGTGCGCTCTGAGCCCGAGAGGTTTACCTGGTGGCGCGGGCGGCCCACGATGGACGGGAAGACCGCGCGGGGGGCGTCGTCGCCGGCGAAGCCCGCCTTCACCAGCCCGGAGCCGTTGTCGCATACCAGAGCGGTGGTCTCCTCGTCGTCGCACATCTTGGTACAGCTTCAGGGGGATCTGTAGGCTAGGGAAGAGCAGGGCGGCTCACTGAGTTTCCCCGGGGGAAGGAACTTAGCAGAGTGGGGTCCCGGGAGGAGGGGGGGGGGGGGACACATGGGTCATGTACTTGCCCCTTGGGGCAGAAAAATAGAGAGGAGTGAGAAGAAGCTGTGGAGATCGAAAGGGGGCTTAGAGAAGGGGAAGCGTCTCTCTCCTGGGTTCATCTACCTCCGGTGAGAGAGGGGTGCCCCAGCCCGCATTAGCAGATTCTCCCAACCCTTTCCAATTTGCCTCTTTCACAAAAGGGGAACCCACTTTGGCCCCCATGCACACCCCCCGTTCCCCGACGCCTGCGCTCCAACTGGAAGGACAAGCAGAGCGAGCACCGAGGTTCCAAACGTCCCGTGGGTAGCCAGAGGCCCCCTTTCCACGCGCTCCTCCCTGGAGAAGGCTGCGAGGCAGGACCGAGGGAGGCAGCACTCCAGAAGTTGGGAGTCAAGATTACAAAGGGCCCCCGAGGGTGCGGGCTGGGGCGCAGGAGCGGACGCTCACTCACGGCGGCGGGGCGCGCTCGGCTCGGCTCGGCTCGGGACGCTGCAGGCGCTGGGTGCGGGCGCGGGCGCGCCACTTTATAGCTGCCCAGGGACCGGGTCAGCGGCGGCGGCCGGGGGCAGGGGTGGGGGGCCCGCTTGGCCACCTTGCCTTATTTGGTCGCCTTCGCACCACGGTGGAGCGCCGAGGCCATTCATGGAGCCAGGGGCAGGGGAGAGGATCAGCCAGGGGGCCCCCAGACCATGTAAGGAAGGGGAGGGGGCAACCAGGGGTGGGGGGATGGCCAAATAGGGAACTAGGGAGGGGCAGGCGGGGAAGAGTGGTGGGCAGGGGAAGACTGGGTGACGCCAACCCTCCTCCCCCACCCCTTCCTGGCTGGGGGCGCTCCCTGGGAGTGCTGTGGGCTCCTGTCTCCACAGCCGCGCCAGGCTCAGAGACAATGAGCCACATACATGTGGGAAGACTTGGCGCCCTGCCCTGGGCTGAGGGGTCCTGACAGCTGGGCAGGGCAGCGGGGGAGCGACAGGGCTTCTCATCTTCCAGGACTGCGAGCTGGAGGAGACAACTCTGGCAGCCCTCCTGGGCCCAGAGGGCACCCAGCAGAGCATTGTGAGGCGAGAAAATGGGTCCCTGGGATAAGGCACCCCCTCAAACTCCCATATCAGCCTGGGTGACTTGACTTGAGGGAACTGGCGCAGGGCTCTAGGTCAGAAAGCTGAGATTAACCAAGGCGCGTGGTTTCAAACGCAAAATTGCGCTGCTATAGGCGCCTGGTCAAGCCTTTCGTGGGGGAAGGGGCTAAGTCCCCGAGATCTCCTCCGTGCTGCCTAAATTTACTCCAACTCACACTCTGCTTTTAAGCCAGGAAAAAGTATCCTCTGGAGCCAGAGTGAAAGGAACAAAGGCCCAAAGCAGCGGGTGTCGGTGATCATCTGCTGACCGGGAACAGAGACCTTTGTTCTAGGTGGAGGCAACAGAAAAGGCAAATAGTCTTTCACGAAGATGACCCTAGCAAAGTTTTCCTGCACCAAGAATGATCAAAAAGGCGGTCTCAGAACCCTCCCCACCGCCACCAACCACCAGAACTGTTCAATCGGGATCTAGCTTTACCAAAGAGTACTGTGTATCTATCTCCACATACGGCTATGAGAAGCTTTGCTACAATTCACTGACAGAAGTTCCTCTGTGTAAAGAGATTTAACAGAAACTTGAGATTTGGAGAGGAAAATGGAAAGATGACCGAATAGGGCAGGGAGAGGAGGTGGGGAAAGGAACAGAGACATAAAGAGGACACAACTCAAATCTGCCCTGGGGTGCCCTGTATTCTCAATTCTTGACTGGCACTTGGTTTTTAATGCTTATGTTTTTCCTCCCACTCACACCATCTAAAAATAGAAATCTGGGCACAGGCATCCATCTCTAGAGTGGTCTTGGATTGATATGCTGAGGAGGCCCACTGATTAGATACTTGTCCAGACTGGGGAATGCAATGTGAAGCCTTCCCTGCTCCCCTGAGCTCCCCAACCATGTTTGGGTTGATCTGGAGAAGAAACTGTGGGGACAGACAATGAAAAGAGGTGAAGCATCCAGGAGATGATTCTACAGTAAAAATGTCAATGAATAGGAAGCCAAGAGCAATTCTGCCTACACGGAGGGGAGACGTCAAAGAACCAAAGAAGAGGAGAAATGGAACCGGAGTGGTAGCGACACTGTCCCCAGCTCCACTCAGGCCTCTATCATTTACTCTCCTTTTGATTTGGGGCAAGTCCTCAACGTCCCAGAGCTCTTAATTTTCTCCTCTGAACAAAAGACACAGTAACTATTTTCAAAGTGGTTATTAACCCCTTTGTTATTGTAATAATCAGAGAAAAGTGATACACACCACATAAAGGATACAAAGCCAACTGTAACTATTATAATGTGGCAGTAACAGTACTTCTGTTTTTGAAAATTCAGGTCAGTTTGATTCATTTATGGATTGGACAAATATTTATGGGATAAGAACTGTGCTAGTCACAGGGATACAGTGATAAATAAAACAGCAGGACTTGTGCTCCAGGGCAATTTACAGAAAAGTCAGATAGTTATGGTACATGCCAGGAAGAAAAAAGAAACTGCCAAAGACAGTTCAGAGGAAGACTTACTGAGGAAATATCATATTATTGTTTTTCAAGTAGAATGGGACTGAAGTTCATGATAACTGTTATCAAAGTTTCTACTTGGGATTATCTGGATGCAGAATACCATGTTCCCTGTCATAGGTGCAAGGGGAACTCTTAGAAAGTCTAGCATGTCATCAACATCGTGTTGGTTGACCAAGATCCTTTACAAACACCTGGGACTAGAGTGTGGATCAGTGGAGGAATAATGCCATTTTGATGAAACATCCTTAAATGTTTTTAAAACAGTTTCATTTTTTTGATTAAAGGCAAAGTGTGTTTTCAAGCAAATTGTTTTATAATAACCCCCTCCTCTATTTATGTTTGTTTAAAATTTAATTCTAATCCTATTCTATGGATTCATTTTAAAACTCTGAACCAGGGCTGGAGAGATATTATAGGAGTTAATATGTTTGTGTTTCATGTGGCCAACCTGGGCTCAATCCCTGGCACAGTGTATGGTCTCCTCAGTACTGTCAAGAATGATCCCTGTGTATGGTCGGGAGCTAACTCTCAACATCACCAGGTGTGGTTCAAAGACCAATAAAAGAAAGAAAAGGAAAAGAAAGTAAATCCCCCCAAAATCTCTGAACCATACTTACAGATTTAAAAAAATATAGTCAGTGAGGCTCGTGATGTGGCTTGTGGCAGAGCACATGGCTTTCATATGAAAAGTTGTGGTTTTAATCCCTGGTACTTTTAAATAATGATAATTATTAATAATAATCACCATAATAATAATGAAATAGTCCCTGGCACTGATTTTTCACTTGACAGTTCCTCAGTGATTCTTTTAATTTGAATATAAATATAAAATAGCATACTCATGAGTTCCAGTGATTTTATATGTTCTAGATTAAAAGTTTAGTGTGTTCCAACAAATGGCCAAAGTCATTAGAACTGAAGATTTTATTTACAGAAGTGAGTTTTCGTGGGGGACTGGGAACTTAGAGGAATCCTTGTCTGTAGTGGTGGGGTTAGTGTGAGAATGATGTACCTGTGAAAAGAATAACAGTATTGTGAACATCGTCACTCAATAAAAACAATAAAATAAAATGAGTTAAGTGTGTTCCAGATATTATTTTAGTTTGAAAATGGTGGTAAAATCCACATCGCATGAAGTTAGCATTTGAACCTTTTAGAAATGTCCAGCTCCATAGGTTTAAGTGCATTCACACCACTGTGGAACCAATCTCCCAATTTCATTTCTAATGCCAACAGTGACTAACTTGATTTCTGAACCTCGGAATGGCTCTTTGAGAAAGATTGGTTTATCTCATCTGAATTAGATCACCTTTGAATCTTTCTGTCCAAGGTCTCTAGCACTGTCTGCACTGTAGCACTGTCCTCCCATTGTTCATTAATTTGCTCCAGCGGGCACCAGTAACATCTCCACTGTGAGACTTGTTGTTACTGTTTTTGGCATATCGAATATGTCAGGGGTAGCTTGCTAGGTTTTGCTGTGTGGGTGGGAGACTCTCGGTAGCTTGCTGGGCCCTCCGAGAGGGACGGAAGAATCGAACCCGGGTTGGCGACGTCAAGGCAAAATCCATACCCACTGTGCTGTTGCTCCGACCCCAGGGCTCATAGATGATCAGCAAACCCAAGAGGATTCAGATCCAGCCAGTTGACCTTATGACCCTGTCCCTGACCTCCTAAAGGCCTCCCACTCTTCTTGGGCGGTTGCTCCTTAAAGAGTTGCTCCTCAAGCCATTGGCAGGGCAATGACTAGGGCTGCCTAGGAGAAATACTCCTTTCCACTTCCACCCCGAAAGAGTGAATCTCAATTCTAAATCAAGTCTGAGAGCAAGAAATGCGGAGGTGGTTCCTCCCAGGCGCTCAGAGCCTTGCTAAATGCCCCAGCGCTGCCAGCGTGGCCACAGTCCAGCTTGGCTGACCTTGAGCCTCCCAGTGGGATGGCAAAGCCAGGGCATGTCCCCAGGGCTCTGGAGTGCCAGTGAATCCCTTCTGGGCAGGGACAGACCCTGCAGGAGATGTTCAGGGCAAGTTGCAGGAACAGAAGGAGGGACAGTCCCGCTGCCCTTGCCTGGAGGGAAGCCTGTTTCGTCCACCATCTGCTGGGCTCTGGACTGCACGGCCTGGCCTCCTCCCGCCACTGGGGGATTAGCAGTCACTTATCTCAGCTGTTCCTCCATTTGGAGGTGTCACCATATTTACAGAGAAGCCAGAAACAGACACAGCCACATATCACCTCCTCAGGAGCCCTCCTGTCTCCTGCTCAGGCTGCTCTGCATTCCTCCACAGAGGACAAAGGAGAAGGCTCTTTGGAGACTAGACCCCAGGTGGAGTGTGCGTGTAGGGGCTAGTCTTTCTAAAACATTTCTATTTTCTCCCCCTTCCCATTTGTTCACTCCCCCCTTGTCCTCTGGCTGGTATCAGTTTTCATTAAAAGAAGAAAGTGACGTGACTGGGAGGGATACAGGGCCATCACCCAGGCGGGGCACAGAATTCAATTCCACAGCATGCCTAATGTCTGCTCTATGCTTTTCCAAGCTTTCCAGGCAGCCACCAAAGAGATTAACGAGGGTCGGGAGGGGGGGAGGGGGGTTTACTTCGATTTAGCAGATTCTGGAAGTGACTGTTTTATGCCTTTTTAGGACCAAACTGTGATTAACCAGTTATTAAGATTTTTAAAAAGAATTCAAAGCCAAGAGGATGGGAGAAAAGACAACTTAGAAGGGGGATCCTTCTGGAGCTTGGAGCCACATGGATCTAAGATCTTAAGGTCTAATTTTTTGTTCCTTTTGTTTGTCTTTGGCCCACACCTGGCTATGATCAGGACTTACTCCTGACTCTTTGCTCAGATTTTACTTCTGGCCTTAGTCAGGACTCCACATGCAGTGGCGAGGATTGAAGCTAGGGTGGGCTATCTCAAACTCTCTAATGTCTGCTATCTCTTTGACCCTTCAAGGTCTAATTTTCACTCTCTTCA